CCCCCGAAGAGACGCCGCTTCTGGGCCACTGGTTTCTTCAATGGATTGGTGCTGAGCTTATGTTGAGAGACTGAATTTGGAATTCCTGGCATATCTGCCGAAGTCCATGCGAATACATCATTATTAGCTCGAAGAAAGGCTATTAGCTCTGCCCTTTCCTCTGGGTTCAATTTAGTTCCGATCTGCATCTTTCGGGTCGGATCTCTGTCATCAATGAGCACTTCTTCAACGTCTTCGACCGGAGCAGCTCTAGTTTCATCTTCCGGTCGATTATCTGCGATCTCAACACCCATAACTTGCTGATTATCAGAAATTCGCTGGGGAATGACCTCGGGTGTCTGAGCTTTGCCTTTCATGGGTTGTGTTACTGAGGTGATATAACAATGCCTGGCCACCTCCTGGTTTCCTCGCAGTGTTGCTATTCCCATAGGAGTTGGGAACTTCATACAGAGGTGAGACTGGGAAACCACAGCTCGGATTTTAGTCAATGTGGGTCGGCCAATAACAATGTTGAAAGAGGACGCCATCTTGACTACGAGGAACCGGACTGACGGGGTTACATAGGTCCTGCCACTCCCAAAAGCCACATGGAGGGTAAGAACTCCTTCTACCGGAACAGGCTGGTTGTTGAAACCATAGATAGGACCATCATACTTCTGCAACAATGCTGGATCCAGTCCCAGACTCTCGAAACAGTGGAAGTACATGATATCTAGTGCACTCCCGGTGTCAACAAGGACGCGTTGTACTTCACAGTTATTAATCATTACAGAAGTGACCAAGGGATCATTGTGGGGTGTGACAACTGTATCAAGATCAGCAGATGTGAAAGTAATTGGTTGATTCTTCCACTCAGCATCGTCAATCTTCCTTTTCTGAGCTCGGTTTTGATGTTTAACTTCTCTGACATACAGCTTTCGTTGCTTAGAGCTCAGTCCACCTGCTTCAAGGCCTCCTGTGATCATATGTATGATTCTGGCTGGGGGTGGGAGCGGAGGTGGTGCTTGCTGATATCCCACACCTTGCCTGTTTGGGGGATTGCGGACTCCTTGAGGCTGCGGCCTCTGTTCTCTAATAAACCTCGGCTGTTCAGCTCTCTGAATATACTCATTTAGCATTCCCTTCTGAGCTAAACTTTCCAGTTCGGACTTTAAGCTGTTGCACTGCTCTGTAGTATGGCCGTGATCTTGATGAAAATCACAATATCTGGTGTGGTCGCGACTAGCAGCAGCAGTTTTCATTGGGCCAGGACGCCTTAGATCCATTTTATTCTTGATCTGCATAAAAATTTGTGACCTCGGTAGATTAAAGGGAGTCCAATTGACTGGAGGTTTACCTGCAGATTGTTGTGGAGTTGTTGAGTTCGTCCTTCCGAATCTCATTGGGGAGGTCAACACAGGACCTCGGTTCTGTGCCATTCTCATCCTTTTCCGGCTCGGATTGTCATCTCTCCATTCTGGGTTCTGGTTCTTAGAGGAAGGTGGGTTTTGCGCCAGGGTGTATTCCTCAGCAGTTATGAATTTCAGAGATCGATCATTTACCTCGCTAAAGGTGGTGGCAGCATGTTTGATCAAACTGTCTCGGAACCTGTCATGTTTGAGACCAGAGATTACAGCTGCAATGCCCACAGCTTGGTCGAAGGAATGAACCTCCAACACCGCATCATTGAACCTGCTCATGTAGTTCTTTAGGGACTCCCCGTCCCTCTGTTTAACTCGTATCAATTCGGTAGTAGTTTTCCTAATCAACCTTCTACTGGAAAACTTAGTGGCAAAGGCAGATGCCATTTCTGTGTAAGAACTAATTGACCTCGGAGGTAGACTATAATACCAAGTTCGAGCATTACCTCGTAGAGTAGAGGGGAAGATCTTGCACATTAACGCGTCAGAGGCATTCTGTGCTTGCATGTAAGAGTAGAAAGCATGCAGGTGATCATCGGGGTCCTTCGTCCCATCATATGTCTCCAGTTGGGGTATTTTGAAGCCAGTAGGATAGGGTTCCAGTGTGATGTTGGTATTCAAGGGGTGAGGTATGGAATCAGTAGCATGGTGTGGGGGTGGAGCACCTCGGTGTTCAGCTATCAGCTTTTCTAAGCTATCAAGGCGACGAGTAACATTATCAGGGATGGGTTGCTGAATGGGTGCTATGTGGGATTGATCCTGAGATTCGCTAATAGCGGGAGCAGGTTGAACCGGTTGGGGATTCTGTTGTGGAGCTGGGGGTTGTTGAGCAGGGTTTAGTAAATTAATGAGGGGATCACCAGGATTATTTCTAGCTAAAAGCTGAGCCAGTACCAACTGAAAAACACCAAACTGCTGCTGCATGGCAACAAGCTGAGCTGTCACCGCGTCTTGGTTGGCAGTGGAAGTTGAATTGTGAGCTGAGGTATGAGGTTGATTTTCATCTCCTCCTTCTGCATGATCAACAGGAGGGAACATGATTAGAACCTGAGGTGGAAGCTAAGGTGGAAGTTGAGTTGGGATTTGAGGTGGGATCAGAGGTGGAAGGTTGTTAGGGGGTTGACCTTGCCCAAGAGGCAGAGATGAGTTACCAGCTCGGACTGATCGAGTGTGAACCATGATGGAAGAGCAACTAGGAAGCTTTCAGTTCGATTCCCACAGACGGCGCCAATGTAATTGCACCAAACCAGAAGTCCTTCTTCAATTCGCACTTGCACTCCGAGATAACCTGCAAAGCCCCGAGGTGGAACTCGGGGTAGACACTCCGATACTTAAGTCAGCAATAATCAGGGCTACCTTTAAGGCGGAGATAAGAAAAGCTTAAGGTTGGTTTCAATTACCTTTTGACGTGACCCGAAGGGGGTATTTATAGGATCCAATGAGGAACCCACGTGGTATGCCAAGCAAGATATTCGGGATCTGATGTGTATCTCCAGACGGTTATTTCGGGACCGGGAATTTGAGAGGTATTCAGATGCAAGAATATCCACCATAATTGCTGTGCAGCTTATCATAAGGGATCAGGTGCGGGCATGCTTATTGTCACTGTTATGCAGCTATTTCAGCGAGAAGTTTTGGATTTGTCCTTCACTTCGGTCATAAAGGAATTACTGTAGCAGTCCGAGGCTTGGCACCTCGGACCTGTCCTTACACACCCCCCTCCCCCCCCAAAAAAAAAAAAAAAAGCATTAATTCCAGTTGAACGAGGGAGGAGATCATATTCTTGAGCTCAAATTCATTGGGTTAGTGTTCCCTTCTTCTTGGGGGCTTAATTATTTTGTTTCTAGTGTTTTTCATCTAGGATTTATTTGAACATTTCTTGTCCATTTATTATAAATTCTTCATGAATTTTTTAACGAGATGATTAATTTTTGAAGTTCCTAAAAACTCTTTTTCTTGCAAGATCAAATTCTTGAGATTGAACTTTGAAGTTTATTGCGTTAGTCCTTTTTTTTTCCCCCTCTTTTCTTGGGTTTCATCTATTATTTAGATTGGACAGAGTATGCACATTTCTCGATGACTTTCATTAGATTTCGACTTTAAACTTAATTCATGCAGTGAAAATGGATAGAAACTCTCAAAGAAGTTATCTAGAAGCTGCCCTGAGAGGCCAGAGGATGCAACGCATTACTCTTCGTGCACCAGCACCCTTCACACCCAGAGCTTCGCCTTCGGACAAATCCGTTCCTCATTGTACTGTTTCTCTGGACATCAATATTGATGAGCTTTACAGGTGTTTTGGACGGTTTGGCTACATAGTAGACATGCATTTCAACGGTAGAACTCTCCAACAAGCCAGGGAAGTCAATGTGTTCTATGAGGATCCCACTTCAGAACAGAGGCTTCTTCAAGCTTCACCAGTTGTAATCCGTGGAAGGCCCATTGTTATTGAGCTTAAGAAATCGTTCCCATATTATTAGGAGGGGCAAAGACGAAGATTTTAGTATGTTTGATTTGAGTCTCTTTTGTCGGAGACTAGATCACCATTTTGGTTGTTGAATTTTTAGTTTTTGACTGTAATTGTCCTCAAACTTCAAAAAATGTTAAAATGATCCTTAAACTTCGGTTTTCCAGTACTGTTTCATCCTTCCATCAACAGAATTGCAAGTGTCACATTAACTTGTAAAAAAATCACACCTATTTAATGAGTTTTTAATGATAGTTTTAATGATTTGTTAATGCATCTTCACCCATCATTATTTAATTAAAAAGGTGTGATTTTTTGGTAAGTTAACATGATACTTGACAATTTTGTTGACAGGATGATGAATTTGATGCCTAAAAGTCAAGTTTAAGGATCATTTTAATATTTTTTAAGTTTAAGGACTAATTTAATCCAAAACTAAAAGTTTATAAACCAAAATAGTGATTTAACCTTGGTGAAAATAACCGGACCCATAGTTAGTATACTATGGTGTCACCAAAGAGTTAATGCCGTTATGGCTTAGGTGGGTTAGTAAGTAAAAGAATTTACTTTTCATATTGTATAATAATAAAATATAACTTTTTTATAACTTTTAATTTTTTCCATTTACATATTTATTACTCAAATTTAAAATTCTTAATATTCAATCAATGTTTTTAACTTTCTATCGGACAGTCAAGTCATTTTTACCTCCTATTACAGTTAGATCGGACGGCTGGTTGAACTACTAGCTTGACAGGATGATGTTATAAATAAGTTTTTTATAATAATAATAATAACAAGAAACAGGTAACTATTGATAATGAATAGTAAATGATAATTAGTAGGTAGTAATTAATAAATAACAAATAAGATAATGGGTGATAAAAATAAGAAAATGGGTGAGAAATGAACAAATGCTGATTAATATAATTGTTTGATTGTATAATAGTTAATTATTATTATTTAGACATATTTATATGCTATTAAATAATAGTATTTTCTTATTAGTAAAATAATTAATTTTATAATAAGTAACTAAAATATACAAGTGCCGAATTACGCAATTCTTCCATATTTTTAGTAAAAAAATTATTTGACTTTTAAATAGAAGAAAAACAAACTTTTAATTAAATTATTTGAATGGCAACTTTTGTTTAACTAGTTAGTATAAATTTTTTTTATGAGAAATTAATTTAAAGGATAATAAAACAATAATTAATTAGTATTATTAAAGAGAAAAAAGACAAAAAAAATAAAATTAAAACTGATTTGAGAATTAATAAATTTAGGTGATGACAAAAAATTAAATACTATAATTAAAATGAATAAATTTATAAACTAAATTATGAATTTTCAATCCACTAAAAAAATCACTTGACAATCAACTATTAGGAACCTCAAAGCATTATGTAATAAAATTGTATTAAACACTAATATCCTAGTGGTTTGAATAACCCCTTTAACCACAAAGTAAACCCTAAATTCATCCCTAGAATTCTTTCCAAAGCCCACTCCGTCCTAACTCATACATCAACATCACTCCTGCTCAAATAAATCAAATGGAGGTAAAACCAACATATACAGAAACACACTTAATTCCGCCGTTGTTTCCTCCCCTATTCGCGAATCGCTGACGGTTCAAATCCATCATCAATATAAGAAAGCTTTCTTTCTCCAGTGCTTTTAGAAGCCTCAACAAATACTAACACAAGCATTTGGATTGTCACCGTGCTTTGAACATTGTAATATGCGGTCAACAGAGCCATGTGTGCAAATTATGCCTTCAAAATCTTGTTTGCCTTTCCACTATCCAAAGCAGAGTCCGGTGCTTGTTTCTTTCCCTCTTCTTTCTCCTTCTCCGGTCCCTCATCCTTCTCCGGCCCCTTGTCCTCTTCTTTCTCCTCTTCTTCTTCATCACTCAGATTTTCGGCTCGAAGGAAAAACCTAACTGCAGCTGCAAACCAAAAAAAAAAAAAAAACGAAAATCAGGAAAATAAAATTATGAAAAATTGGTTCCATTCTTTAGCAAAACCAATCCAAAAGCAATAAACAAAAGGCATGACAACCATCGATTCGGAATCAAGTCTCTGTCACGCCAACTTAATATAAATGTATGACTAAGGTTTATTAGGATTAAGAGGCTGTATAGAAAAGGATCAAAGCCATCATGCTTGCTTGAAGAATAAAGTTTGCTAACATCACAGTGACCCATGACAATTAACAAGGTCGCATACCATTTTTTTCAGAATTATTCAAATTCATGAGAAAGGCCAGAAAATAAAAACAGAATCCAAACAAAATTAATAAATAATTTATTCCTATGAATAAAATTTTAATTTTTGCAGAGTCATTAAAAAAACCTGACAATCAAAAATAATAATAATAAAAAGTTTAACACAAGACTTTTTTTTAAAAGGTTAGAAAGCTTAAAAAGATTTTGCGAAATGCGATTATATACATTAAAAAGGGAAGCATGTGCTAAAAATTACTTAAATTTGATTTTTAAAAAATAAGCTAAAACGAGAGAAATTAAAATTTAAAAGAAACAAACCCCTCGAGAAACATGGGTTTCCCAGCGGTTGGAATTTTCTTAAATAACTTCAGTAACTCCAAACAAAATTCAAGAAAATAAGGACTGGTGGCTGATGAGTCCTTTTGCGACTGGCAATCTGATGCATTCCCTAAGCTAAGTGGTGCTGCACTTATTTCTGAAATTTTCTGCACTGCTTTTGGTCCTGCAAGATCCTCTTGGTGGTCCAAATTAATGCATGAAATGTGGACATCCAAACAGCAATGTGCAAGGGATTCAGCAATTCCTTTATGTCCATTAACAGACGCCAGAACAGCAGGAGTTCTGCCTGAGGGATATTTAGGTGATGGATGTGTTAATGCTCTAGTAGCTGCACCTAACGAAAGGAGGGAAGGCACCGCCTGCTCTCTGAAGTTGAAGAAGTTTATGTTAATAGAAGCAGGACATAAAAGATGAATGGGTCAGAAATAACTGAGTAAATAATACATAGGCTAAGCATGAAATGTCAGATGATATGGTATTTTTCACATATTTTTGAATATGAACGTTAAGAAAGATATATTTTCCTAATTATGGAGTATTTTCTAACCTATAGAGCCATTATTTTAGAGCCTTCTTTAAATCTTCTCTTGTGGACAACAGCAAAATGCTCAAAAAGGAAAAGAGATAAAGAAACATAGAAGAAAATGGTAACCTTAATGGAAATATTCGAAAGAATTGTAGAGGTGTTCACCTGCCACAAAATGCTGCCCAGTGAAGTGCAGTCCATCCATTCACATCACGGAAATCAACACTTACACCAGCAACTATGGTAGGCTCCAAAGCCCAATCATAGCCAAGTGCAGCTGCCAAATGTAGAACACCTTGTCCACCCTCATCCAATATACTAGGGTCATCACCACCTTCAGCATCCTTCTGTAAGATCCATAAATGCAACATCTCTTCCAGATGCTTCTGAAGCAGCTGGTCCTTAAATTTTTCTAAGCAAAATTCCATTCCTAAACCAGTCTTTAACATCTGGTCCAATTCTTTGTTGTCCCCTTTCAGCAATGAACTGATTTTACTAATCAACAGGGATACATCCTCTAAGTTGCTGGTGAAACGATTAGTGGGATTGGAGCCTGAATGCAGTATTTTATCAAAACGCAGAAGAAGATTTGCTTCAGCCCTGTCACTATAGTTTTCAGCAGCATTTATATCTTGGATATCCGATTTCTCTTCAGATGGAATGCTCAAAACATCATTCTCATTTTCATTCTCACCTGTTTCCCCATTGTCCCCAGGACTGGACCTCTTCTTCGAACCTTGTTCTGTTAAAAGTCCAGCAAACAAATGCTGCCCTATAGAAGAAGAGAAGATTAATTTTCCCTCAAACTTCGAGTCACCATCTGAATCTAGGGGTAGAACATAACTGTGTTTTTCATTTGATAGCGATCCCTGAAAGTGTTTTTCCTTTGAATTATTATTTCTTAAATCTGGGCGTTTCTGCTGGGGGTCAACAGAATCCATTAGTCCAAGGTGATTTACTTGTTCATGAAATTTAGAAATTGCATCACATGCTGATTCTGATAAAGATGAAGAACCCTCAACTGAAGCCTGTTTGGAATTTAAATTAAAGACTGAAAATAATTAAACTTAAAGCCAAATGCTAGATATATACTGTGATTTGATGCATCAAACTTTGGCAGTGTTAACCAGTCAGTACCTTTGATTTTTCTTGAATCTGAAAATCCCCCCCAAAACTCAGCCTTTTAACAACTTTGTTGCTGACAAACTTACCCACAGTATCAGGACGAGAGGAGGAAGACAATGATCCATGCTCTATGGATTCACCACAAGGAGTAGAACTCTCCCAGTTATCTTCCAATATTGAAGGATCAAAGGGAGTCCGGAAGAGGTTATCTATTAGTTGTACTAGTTCAGCATCCATATCACTATTGCCCATGTTTAGTTGAGTGGGGTCCGATTCCATGTCAGGAATGGTTGACAAACTTTCATGAATACTAGCTGTTCAGAGTAAAAAGTATTAAGAATTAGTGAAAACTGAAAAAGCAAAGTTTAATTTTAAAATAATAAAATAACATAAATAGCTATTTTACTTGAATAAAACAGAGGAATTTTAGGATCAGAGCCTCCAGCATCAACCTGTTCTGGAGCAGGCTGTTGTAACTCGAGACCAAAGTGAAATCCAGAACTTGCTTGGTGATCATATTTTACATAAACTGTCATGCACATCAGTGGAATATGAAAGGCATTAATGCATTCATCATCCAAGAAACTGCCTTACATTTTCTAAATTGAACAGATTTACAATGTATAATATCGGAATAGACATATTGAGCCTAAACAAGGTTCACCTGATTGAGCATTTTCATGTTCCAATGCCTGTGCACCATGTGGAAGCAATGCTGTATCTGTATATTCTGAAACTAAAAGCACTTGGCAATTATTTGGATGAGAACCAGGACACATGGAACTGTCAGTATTAGAATAGGGCATAATTTCTACACTCTCTTGGCCCTGGGAATATGGACCTGCTACTTGAGCCTCTTTAACACAACTAAAATCTTCATTTTTTCCCTGATAGAATTTCAGAAAAAGAATATAAGAAACAAGGGCTCTATGATGAAACTGTTCATGCATCTTATTGACAAGAGTAAAGATTACAAAAAGTATTGAATCCCATCTGATTTTACTAATGTGTGCGTCCAGTCCAGTGTCCAGAAACTTATCTTAACATCTGTAATATAACTTGCTTCTGTGACAGTAGACATTGAAGGCTTTAGATATAAGCTTGAACAAGTCCTCACAATGCTGTTACACGAAAGTGTAAGGTTGCTTTCCTTCAGAAAGAAGGCACCAAGACAGTAGAACGGGAGGAAAAACATAGCTTAAATCAGGCACATGCCAAATGGCAACATTTTTATCACCCTATGGAAATAACTGTTCATTTTAAAGTAGAACTCAACAGCAAGCACTGGGATGGTTCAGGATGAGGATCTGGTAAAGAAAAATAAAAGATGGAGATGGAAAAGGAACATCTTTGAAGAAATGAAAGAAAAAGGACCAAGTCCAAGAAAAAAGGAGTAAAGACATTCCTGGAATAAACTAGTTCGCATACCCAAATATGATAAAGCTCTACTAGTTAAGAATAGTCAAGAGTTAGACCCAACATTAACCATCTGATAGTATATTTCTAACAATATATCTGCATATTCCGATAAATATTTCCAAATGAAAAAGGCAACATAGTATGAAATGATGTACTACATATCTCACCATAAACACAATGTAATACAGCCATAAATTACAGTGACAGACAACCAAAATCAAGTCAATTCCCATAAAAAAATCTAAGTCAATGAAATAGTGTATCGCTGGCTGAAATTTTGCAAACTTAATGGAAAAAAAAAATTAAAAGGAAAATGAACATAATCAATGCGTGAGTGTCATAACATGTCCTTAAATGCATAATGAATATAGACCGTATATGTGTACCAGGTTCACTGGTTGTGATGAATGAATATAGACTGCCTATGTTCTCTAATCCTATGCTCGTACCCAAAAGATGTTATCAGATCTATTTGTTATTGAATGCTTACAATCAAAATAACATGAGTTATAGTTAAATGATAACCAATGGTCAGTGATGATTGTTATTGATACTTATGATCAATGAGGCATAAGATCCTATTGAGAGCATTGAAACATTGTCGCATACAACCTGCATTGCATTGTTTTCTATGGGGGGTATTGACCTATGCTTAAGCTAGGTACTATTGTGCTCAAGTGAGCAGCCATTGTTATTGTTATTGACCACTGCACAGTTGGGTATGCCTTGACAAGTTCTGGCAGAACGGGAGTGTACCACATATTGATTAGCTGACCCCATGCCATTGTATTTGTATTGAGCACATATCTCTAGAATACTTTCTATCATCAAGGTTAAGGTATTGGACATACTTTCTGAGATTAAGTATTGAAGCATGAATTGAGTGTGCTTGTTTGCTAATAGCTTTATTGATAGGTCCCTGCTTGATGTTTTTTCAATTATTGATGGCAGATTGATTCAGCTAAACCTACTGTTTTGTATTCTGTTATAACTACAAGCTTATGATGGATTAACCGAGTGATCTTCCTAAATTGGTTAAGAGTTCTATCATGGCTCTAAGCTGTAACTTATACTTATTGGGCTTCATAGCTCACATGCTTGCTTTTCCAACCATTTCAGATTAGTCCTAAGAGTGGAGTATAACTCAGATTTCTGGAAGTTTGGGAGCTTTCTGAGGTTGCTATTGTGAACAAGCTTACTCAAGCTTTTTAAGGTAAACTTGAATCTGCCCAAAATTGTATCCTGGCTCAAAGTTCTTTGAAAACCTATTTGGGTTACTCGTAAAACTATTATACCCTTTTTTTTTAAAGAAGAATTTATTTGTTGACCATATGTATAATCTAGACTTTGGAACTAAACTGTGATTTTTCTTGTTTAAGACAATATTTTAAAGTTAAGGCTTCCTGCGCTATTGACATGATTTTTCTAAAGCTATTTACAACATTGCAAACTTTAATATAACAGCTTAGGCTATAAACTATAGAAGGTTCCACATGGATTTTTTTTTCTACCCTGCTAAAATCTTCTTGAGTTTTTCATAAGTGAACGCTCCTTTTTATTTAAAACAAGCATTGTTTTAAGTCATAGTGCAATCTTGACCTTTCTAAGGGAAGGCTTCAGTTTTGGTTATGACAGTGAGCCATGAAAATAAAAGTAAAATGAATATAATCAATGCATGAACTTATAATTTGCCAGTTCTTTTAATAAAGAATAAACAAATTACGAAGCACGTGGATGTTTCATGACAGCATTAGGCTGTTCTAGTTCTGTTGATCACTCACTCTACCTAGACTCAAGAGTGTGCACTTAAATTGACTTAATATAACTTCAAATTTTCAGTTTAATCAGTAAATCTGTAAACTGCATCAGCCATATGATCTCCTTAGGAAG